GGATAATGTACTAAACCATGGATCCGTTCGTTCATATTTTCCCCCGGGTTAAATTTCGTCGCGCATTTATTGTATTTTAGCAAACTGAAAACCATGTGTTAAACTTAATGGAGACTGATAGACTGACAGATGGATAGATAGATGGACTGACCGACCGACAGACAATGCTAAGGTAGATGCGAATATTTGATGCAGATAATTATATTACTGTACCTGTCTCTTATACACATCTAGATGTGTATAAGAGACAGCCTCCAGCCCATGGCCTAAGTTTATAATATATTCGTGATGGTTTGCTTCATTTGATAACGCATAATGTGTGGATTTACCTTGTTCCTTGTCCATTTTGCTGATTAAATTCTCCTTTTTCTACAAAGAATTAAAAAAAACCCCCCAAAAATGCACAAGTATTTAGGAAATGGAAATTTACAATGTCAAGTCAAATCTTTCTCTAATATTGGAATTGAGGTAGCCGTGAAAATGTTTTCAATTACAATAACGTATGTATGGAAATGCAATTCAGGTAGGCCTATAGGATTAGCGTATCGTATCAGTAAAATTATGGTTAAGTTATATTTGTATTGGATTTCAAACAAAGAGCAAACATCTATAATGTTTAGCTTATTGTACCACCAGTTTGTTAATCCAGCAAGTAAATAGATGCATTGGCGACAACAATTCTAACAACATTTTTTGCCAAACAAATGAAAATGAGAATGCAAAAATTGGCAATATTTCATTAACCATTTACTTTATGCAGACGACCATGTTCTTATGACTAAATGTTCTATAACCAATTAAAATACAAGGAGAATAAACACATAAAAGCCTTAAACCAGCAACGTTAAAGGAACCATAATAACCATAATAATAATTTTATAATTAACACACATTAAGCCTTTGATCTGACGACGGATATGTTCCTATTTGAGCACTGTATATTATCATTATTTATCCATTTGTTTACTTTGTGTTTACAGTAATCCATCAAACTGAAATTAAATTTTACACTCTATGATTTCAATCTCGAAACACGTGCTAGTTTGTTTTACCGTAACAAATTTACAGATTTGAAATACTATTTACGTTATCCACTAAAGGAATGTATTATGTCAGTGCCATTTTGATAATGATACTCGTATTTTTATTCTTTTATACAATATAGGTCTACAATTTATCACTCTGAAATGGTAAAGTTGTCCTTGGCCTCAGCCCGCTAACACTTGACTTACCATTCATTTGGTACGGTTAGCCTAACAGCCACCGTAATTACCAAATCAACAACGATCATTTTTCATTCAATTATTTTAACTCACTTCAACCAGAACTTATAGGCTAATAAATACTGATTGTTTTAATTAATTGCACTTTAACACTTACTTCGAAAAAATGCACTGTACTGTAGGCCCACTACCCGGACTTCTTTATACACTTCCTTCCTTCCATTCGTTCAGCTTCATGGGTGTTGCATAATATCCTGTTGTATTTTATTATTGCTTTTACACCCTATTAATATTCTAAAACCCACGTCAGCCGTTCTGTTATTCACAGACGACTGGCCCCACTTTGCTATCTGTACAGTATTTTAAAGTTGTGGTAGCGATTGCGGATAATGTACTAAACCATGGATCCGTTCGTTCATATTTTCCCCCGGGTTAAATTTCGTCGCGCATTTATTGTATTTTAGCAAACTGAAAACCATGTGTTAAACTTAATGGAGACTGATAGACTGACAGATGGATAGATAGATGGACTGACCGACCGACAGACAATGCTAAGGTAGATGCGAATATTTGATGCAGATAATTATATTACTGTACTGTATGACTGATTCCTTTTTTAGGACGGTACGGTACATGAAGTCAACACGTTTACATTAACCTACTAATGCCAACCCACCTATACCAATCTAAATCACGTGGTTAATAGATAACATCATCACCACCAACAATAGTTCAATGTATGAAAAATATGAAGATCTTCATTGAATTCGAATCCCGTTTGCGTCTGTTGATGACAACAGCAATTCCAAATGCAGAGTAGAAAGTGAGAAGAAAAGAAAATCGTAGAGTTCAGTATATCAGTCATCAAATTCTTCTGAACTATCTGTGTTTAAAGAGTTTTGGTCACTAATTAACATTAATAGCAAAAAAATGATGTACAATTGAAAGGAAAGAAATCAAATCAAAGAAGTTAAACAAATGACAAATGTTCTTACAGTATCTGGTTTATATGTCTTTATTCAAGTAGATAACAGTAAACAATAATATTGCACATACAGGTAACATGAATTACTGTAATAATTCCATTTACAATCAACATGTGAACACTCCTGCATTACATGTCACCGATTCTCGTCACTTGCTTTAATCTTTTTCACAATGCAGACTATTGAGCGAACGATTTTGCTTTCTTCTTTTAGTTACTCAGCCCTGGAGTTTTATGATCCGCCTCCATCAACAGTAAGTTCTCTGATGGGGGATGGGGTGTGAAGGTCCGAAGAGAGTTCCAAGATCAAGATTGGAGAAAAAACCTGCATGCCAGGAAATAAATTTCAGATTGAAAAAAAACGCAATGATGAGATTCTTCGACTACTAAGTCCTCCTCGACAGTGGTATTGTGCCTCACTGGATCCCCACTGGCACCACTAATAACAATGATATTAATGGTTTCTGAGTTTTTGTGTCTGATTTACTGCTATAATGTTCAGCACTGCAAAGATACAAATGTTACATTTGTTTTGTTTGACGTTTTGCAATAGATGATTCTCTGAAAAAAATCATTCCTTGAGAAGTTTCTGTTTCCTTATGCACTTCCACATCCATTTCTCATCCACTACTTTAGCCTGGGAGTCATGATGCCCACTCTGCAATAAAAAAAGGTAAAAAGGTAAAGGTCACAACCTGAACCTCTTAATTTTGCACTCCTTCTGCCAAATGATTTTCCGAAAGAACACAAATAAATAAATCATGAATCTTGAATGTTTCTTCCATCTAATAAAATTATGTACCTTTCTTCCTAATTATATAAATTTGAAGCATTTAAGCATCCCATTTTAAATTCACCAATAAAACTTTATTTTTATTTTCTCCTCTATCTGGATGTTTTTAGCCAAACTATTTGCTAAATAAGAAAACAAAATTTAATTTATATTTTTGTTCCGCCCTCCTCCGATGATCTTTAAAAAAATAAGTACAGGAAACATGAAATGAAAAGTCTAGCCTAAATTATGCAATTATAACTTTGCAACGCGCTGAAAAAATAGCATTGGCTTAAAAGTAGAAAATCTTCTAAATTGGTAAGTTTTCGTAGGTATCACTGTTCCAGTTCATTTTTGATCAACAAACCATTAAAATGTGAGCTGTGTATTAGAATGCAGAACATTTTCCCTTGATAATTCATTGTTTTAAAAAGAGGATTACAATTATAGCGCACATATTCATTTCACAAAGAGTTCAAAGTGTTCACTCGTCCCCCTATCCACTGGTCAGTGGATATGGAATTTGTCCTGCACAATGCAGAATCGTCTGCGCTTACAGAGGAATGTTCCTAGTTAGCCATACACATAGTCTATGCCAGCAGTGGTGTCAGAAATTTTCATAAAAGTGGTTAAACATGTCTGACAGAGTGGTCCAAACCAAGGGCTGACTAGAGTCTTGGTCGACGGCCTGGAATAAAAAACCCCTTGTAGGTTTCACAGGAAGAGTTTTTATGGCTATGGTCCAAAATGTGCTTTTAGACCATAATATTAGGGATTAGCAATCAAAATAACAGTATTTTGTATAGGTAAATTATGATTATTTTTATTTTTGATCCCAAGACCTAGTCATGGCGACAGACAGCAGGGGGGGTCCAGGCCTGTCCAATGGGGTGGCAAATTTCCCCTTGCCAACCCCCCACCCCCGCTGGTGCCACCACTGAATCCAGCACTACTAATTTAATTCCAAATTTATTATCACAATAGTAGGAAAGCAATGGACAAAATATATAAAAGTTACTTGAATGAATGAACTTAACTACAAATAATACTGTGATTTTGATGCAACTAATTTAACATTTCCATAATGCTTTGCACTACATTAATTACTATAGTGTGAGGTAAAACTACTGAAATGTCATAATGATTGAATTCTACCTTTTCATTGTTCACTTGAATAATGTGCGTCACAGACTGGTTAACGTTCTTTGCAACGTCACCGTCATAAGTGCTGAACAGTTAAGAAAATTAAGTGACACTTATCATCAATTACACCAATCAATACTACAGCAAGGCTAAAGTGATTTTATTAGTGTTACACAGTTATCTTGTTGGCATAAAAGGCATTAGTGATCATGAATACTGAAATAATAATAATAATAATAATAATAATAATAATAATAATATTAATAACAATAATATTAAAAAAATATAATATTGTAATATTATTATTAATAATAATAATATTGTAGTAATAATACACAGTTATCTTATTGACGTAAAGGCATTAGTGATCATAAATACTGAAATAATAATAATAATAAATTTGTAATATTTTAATAATAATATTGTAGTAATAATAATAATGATAATAATGTAATAGTAATAATATTGTAATAACAACAGCAGCAGCAGTAGCAGCAACAAAAAGAAAAAGAAGAAGAAGAAAAACAACAATAATAATAATACAGTAATAATGACAATATGCCATTCTGAAGGGGACAGACTCTAAATGAAAAGTTTTATTTATATTACGTTTTCTTTCGTCGAAAATGAAAAAAAAATGAGGTTCAATTTTGCGATTCCAAATCTAAATGTACTATATAATAATTAAGGGGGTGAGTTTTTAAAAGTTAGGGGTCATTAATTTGACCTTTAACCTTAACACTGCCATGTAATTCAAAGCCTAACCGTAAACCATTAGTAAAATAAAGAATTAGGCAACAACTGATTTGTTAATTTTAAAATCAAGCAAAAACTTATTCATTAGAAAAGGATATGCTATAATGTAGCGAGATAATTTCTTGCGCTGATCACTCTCTACACCATCGAAATAGATGCATACTCCATGAAGGAAGCTGGGAAGATTGGGTAATGAAGACTTTTCTGGACACTTGGGTCTGACCACGTGACCTGAGGTCGATGGCTTTTGGACATCAACCTTTGACACATCTTGTTTGATTTGTTTCTGGGTTTGTCGGCTTTTCCTTGGGTAGTAATATCTAACAGATCAATTAAGGTCACAAAATAAATATTAACATTCTTTTTTTTTTTAATTAGTGCCTAGAGTACATTACTATTAAAATGTATATGAAAAACATATACATAAACATATTTTGTATAATCTATACCAAAATAGAAGAAACAATAAAATATTAAAGGATACATAAAAACTGGTATTCCTTTGGCTGATAAGTGTTTCCTGAGAAGTCGTTCTGTTCCATACCAATTAAATCCAGGTGTTGCGTAACCTATCCTTGGTAAGTGAACACTTGCTAATGCAAAGCAAAATAACTGAACAATTATTGTAAAAATTTAATAAAAAATCAAATTAAAATTCAATTTTAGTATTACATTAAATACTAGACTAAGGTTAAATTTCCATATTTCATCAATACAGTATACACAATCAACAAAATGCTAAGTAAAAAACAAAATGTGTTTCCTATTCAAACTTTTTAAAATGGATAAGTAAAAAGCCCACCCCACCACTACCCCATTCCCCATTTTTTGTTGGCCCTTAGCAATTGATCAATTTGCTTGTAAGGTGGTCAGATGATTCAGGGACTCAGAATTTGTTTTTAACATATTATATTATCATAATATATACTTTGATACATTATATGATATCAATATTATGGAAATGTTTAATCTCATTTAATATCACCTTTCTTCTGTTTAGCAATGGAATAGATTTTTTGAAGAGCAGTCTTCAAAGATGTTAAGTTGATTCCTGAGAGGTGGTTATGCTTGTCTCTGTGCTGAGCAACAACTAATACCAACTGAAACAGATAAAAACAAAAAAGAATTTTAATAATTGGAAATGGTGTCGTTATTTTAATAATAATAATAAAAATAATAATAATAATAATAATAATAATAATAATAATAATAATAATAATATAAGGAGAAAGACTGACTGTTCAGTCTTAAAATAAAAAAATGAGTGATGTTACTCTGAAAAATGATAAATCCAAGTCCGTCGTTCTATGTTTTGTTCTTTATAATAATATTAGAATATTAATAATAATATTAATATTAACATTAATAATATTAATATTAATATTGTTATTAATATTATTATTATTATTAATATTATTAATATTATTAATATTAAAATATTGTCAATTGTCTGTGCACTTGTAACACATAGGACACATACTGTATTTTAGTCCCATGGAGTATAATCAAAAAGTAGCATTAATTTGCATGGAAAATTACTAGAATAATAGGTGCATGTAATTGTAACAATGCTTAATACATTGGTTCTATATTGAGAGATAGGTCAAGGCCTAATTTTTCTGCAAAATATGCACAGGATTCGGCCCCTTTTTTATGAAATGCATCGATGGATTTCTAGGCCTAATTTTTGCACGGGGGATATTCCAAACACAAGCCTTATTTGACAGTCTGACATAGAACAATTGCAAAGAACAACATGAAGCGCTATGAGATGATCTATTGATTGTACAAGCTGCTATATAAATGCAACTACATTACATTACATTAATCATGTCCACATTAAGACAAATACTCACTAATATAAAAACTATCCTTACCCAATCTCTTCCATTACGTTTTCCCTTTATATCATCAAATCGTATCAGGTGGGCATCACCAAGAGATAAATCTACAAGACAGAAAATCAATACTGTAATCAGTGAAACAATATTCTAACATATCTATACCTTCTAACAGAAAATTAATGCTCAGTATTGCACATTCCAAAATACTTTCTAAACAAAAATCTCGCAAGTGATTCGTTTGGGAATTGAACCCATGATCTTCAGATAAGTAGTACCAACTGCTACTTGGGATCAGATTCAATACTAGTCACAAACTGCAAGCTCACTGGTATAGTGGTTTATGACACCAGGCAAGTTATCTGGAGGTCATGGGTTCAATTCTCACCAGAATCACTAGCAAGTTTTTTTTTTTAAAAGTATTTGGGAACTTACTGAGCATTCAGTATGATAGCATGTCAGGTAGGGCAAAAAAATTCATTCCTATCACTAACATGACACAAATACCATCGGTATAATAATAACAATTATACAAAAAAATTCTTAAATTTACTACAAAACTAAATGTAATGATGTATTTAATAAATTTTATAATTAGGGGGAAATTTTCAATTGAATGCTAATAACTGAAGTTAAAACAAAGTGTTAACTTAATAATAACACAGCGTACCTTTCATTTCACCAGCCAGTTCATATCTTTCAGCTGGTGTTGGGGAACGGGCATCGATAGCTGAAAACAAGCCACCAGAGCCCCAACTACCACTATCATCTGCAAAGCGCAAGGATGTTTTATATGATGATTATATAAAGTAAGCCATTTGTAAAAATAAGGGGTACATCAATATCTAGCAGTACATAAAGACATGTACACAATTGCCTGGGTGATCGTATATTCTTAGAGACTTTGAAGGAGGCTTGGATTTTTCCATTAGGACAAATTTGTTCCTTAAAAGTTATTGCACAATGCACAATCAATATAGAAGTGTGGAGGCGGTTTGGTGCAGTAGAAATGCTTTGGTTTCTCGAACTTGAGGTCGGGGGTTTCAACCATTCACTGTGCATTTCGCTTGTGTCCTCGAGCAATCTACATTGCTTCAGTCCACCCAGCTGTATCAATGGGTACAAGTGAATTGCTGGGAGTAACCTGCAGTGGACCAGAGTTTCACCCAGAAGAGCATCACTCTAATCCACTTCACGCTACATGAAACTGGGGATGCTCCAGTCAATATGAGCCCCATTGCTCAGCAAGTATTTCTTTTTCACAATAGCAGTACATCACATGAAAGCAATCTTATGCATGAAGAAAAGGTTTTACTAGTAAAATTATATCTCTTGGTCACAATTATATTTAGTTTCATAAATTATCTCTGAATATTTAATTACAACAGCAACATGAACATTATTAATTATAATAACAATAACAACATTGAATTAAAAAAAACAGAACATTTAAGCTACTCACCAACACAGTGAACGATGAGGGCATCCTTGTCATTAGTATTTATGGGATGTGTGACATCACCACTAATGTAACCCAGAGAATAGTTATCTTCATCATCAATATCTACTTGAGGGCGCTCTTCTTCTTCATCTTCATCATCCGAATGCAGCGGTAAGCTGCAAGACTCATAATCGTTGTCTGCCCACATTTTCTCTCTGTAATTATGTCAAAATAATAGTTTTGTTCCAATATCTTACGGAAGTGTGAATATAACAATGATATATTAATGATTATCATTTATTCTCTACTCCATTTGTGCCTACAATGATAGCTGCAAATAGGCATATCATAGTCAATATATCCATACCTCACTTCAACAATTATGACTTATTATATGTATATACAATTCATTTATAAATGTTCAATTCATGTAGGCCTTTATAAATGTATATAATTATGATTATTTTAAATCTTTTAAATAACAATGTATTATTATAGTATTGATAGTTATAATTGTGTCAGAAATGTAAATTTTTCTTTTGATGTGAGCTTTTGTGCCCATTACAACTTTCAGGGAGGGCAAATAAATTCTGAATCTGAATTATAAAAAAAGTTATTATAAACACAATATCAAACAAATAAAACCAAATATATACAACAAATATTAATAATATAAAATTATCTACTATTATCCTAGGAATGTACACAATTATTTTTGAAGGGTAAAATTTGCAAGTGTAGAGATTCTTTCCCAGAATACATACAACTTCCTCTTTCGTTCTTCTGCACGCCTGACTTCAGCCTCTTCCCTCATCCTTGCTCTCTTGGCTGCTGACTCTTGCCGCTTCTTTCTCATTTCTTCCTTCTCTTCATCCGTAAGAATTTTTCGTTTTCGTTGCGGTAGATCTTTCAATGGTATTGCTGCTGTACTAGTTACTCTCCTTGACCTTTGACCCAATGTGCTCTCTTCCTGTACCTTTACTTCAGCTAGAAATGTAAATGTATTACTCTACTTTGTTTTATAATCATGGACAATACCATTACCATTATCTTTAATCCTAAGAGTCTTGAAGTGATATCATTCCATAAAAGATCTAACAAAAGTGAGTTTGAGAGAGGTACCCCATCACTCGTATATGTCCTATCAAACCCACTTTACCATTAACTTCAGCCATCAGCATCTACAGGTCCCATGATTTTTGCAACAGAAGATTTGCCTACATACATTCCTTTCAAAAGTTGTTATTGAATTTTTGAGGATTTTCCCAATCAGACCACAGAGAGTATATTATACAGTACACCGCACTTCCTCTGGTAAGCTCACCCCTCTCCCCTCTTTGAACACAAAATTGGACCAATTTCAGGGGGTGGGCCTTATACTCAAGGGGTCCTTTTTTCAATCAAATGGCAATTTTTTCAGCATTGCATGCACAATACAAAGTCAATGTTTGATTTTTTTATTTGTAAAAATTAGCTGAACTAATCATTGAACTCATTACCCTGGACTTTTGCCCAAGGAAAGGCTGCTACAGGTATGTAAATATGGGCGTAAAGTAGGGGGTGGACTTATACCCAAGGTAGGCATACAGTACACCTGAGGAACTACAGATAATTGATAGGTTACCTGCCAACATTTCATCAAAGGCGTTGAGGGCAGCAGCACTGGTTTCTTTGGAGTAGTCCTTCCCTTCAAACATATACATGTGACTACCTGTTGAAAATAACATAAATACATAAATTTGTCTAGTCATGTGAAGACGATAGTGATTGTGGTTGGAATATATTGGTCAAGTAACATTAACCACACACACAGCTGTCTCGTGTTAACTGCTTATAATCTCAACATGTGGTTAGCAAGTAGAGATTTAAATTGGAAGGCAGGCAACTAAACCATCAAGTTACAGCTTTGTAATTTATTAATTTGAAAACATATTTGCTTTTCTTTTGGCTAGTTATCCCCTACTTAAATTTTGCTGAAGTGTGTTCAACATAGTTAAAATCAACCCACTTTACATTCTGCAACAGATAACCAATCTCTGACTGTTATAATAATCAGTAATGGAAATAATTCAATAAAATTTGACATCCAGCCAAAAAAATAGGAATATATAAATTACTTTGTGTTTGAGTATCTTCAGACGATTCGCTTAGGAGTGGCATTTCATTCTCCTCCCCCTCCTCCTCTTTCTCGATCTGATCAAGTTTCCATTCTCCATTCCTGCTTGGTCCCAGTATCTTCTCGAGATCTATTTCATCAGAGTTTTTCTCCTCAAGAAGTTTATCAAGACCAAACTTTAGCATTTCCGACAGCTGAAATTGTTGTAAATATATTTTTGGTTATCATCTATCTTCTATACGTCTAAATATATATATTCTGTAGTTTCGCCAGTATAAACCCACCCCCTACTTTCCACCTAATTTTACGTACCAGCCATTCTGCAAGCAAAAGCCCAGGGTATGATTTGAATAAATACCATACCTTAACAGACTTTTACACATACTTTAACAAAAATATCAAATATTGGCTTTGAATTAGTCATGCAATGATGAAAAATTTCTTGCGTATAATCGCACTCATTCCCTCCTCCACTAAATCAGCCCAATTTTGTGCTCAAGAGATTATACCAGAGAAACTACAGTAAATATCTGGAAAGTTGTATTTTATAGTGAAACACTAGATAACTTCAAACAGAATTTGTGCGTTGGTAATATTAATAATATCATAGAAAGGTAAATTCACCTGTTGTGGAGATTCTGATTGGCCGTTCTTATTACCCAACGAGAACTGTCCACCTTCAATGACTGAATTGGTCAACTTCAGTTTAGCATCTGCCCGCCTTAGGATCACCTCCTCAACAGAGTCTTTACCAATTAAACGGATGATCTTCACTGGTCTAGAAGGAATAAAGACATTTAATTGGCAGTGCAAAAACCCATTTAAAGACATGTTACTATATTTTTTGGATTGGCATAAATATTAAGAATACATATTACAGAATATAACCAACAGAACCACGTTTAAATGGTGTCATTTGTGAAAGGATGCCACTTCCTTGTGCTAACTTTTATTCAAATAAAAAAAAAAATTTAAACGAGTTTGTCATTCGGAATTTTTTCAATCAGGGCTGCTCACGCAATTCAGTCATTTCTGAAATTCATGATAATTTTAGGAGTGATGGAAACAGCTATTTAGTCTTGTATACATTAAGACCTGTCCAGACTATCAAATTTGATTTGACAAAAACATTATGACATGCCTAAATATGGTCATGACCTCACATCATGACCATGTATAGGCACATCATGACTATATATGGGCATACACAAGTTTTTCTGTCAAATAAAATTTTATATATTCTGTTGAATAAGGCTACGTTCAGACATGAGAGATATGCCTGTCGTATTTAACACCAGGCGTACATTAATCTGAGGCATAACTAGCGAGATATCCAGATTAACTAACGCTAGTGTAAGTATTCGCGCAAAATATATTTGTATTTGTAATCGCACATTTTATTTCCTGTCTACATCTAGGCTTATTGTGAATGGTCAAATTTTGGCCAAGTTCGAAATCATTGATGCATGACTTTCGTCAATGATAGCGCGATAATAATGGTGTTCTCCATGCCGCGCACAAGCTCACATCACACAATCAATGTTGTGCTAGCGTAAGTCTTTATGTCTGAACGTAACCTAAGTCATACACAGAGGAGTGTAACTTTAACCCTGTTAATATACGTAAATGGACATAAATGAAAAACTACCGAGTTTGTCCGATCCGATGAGCTCTTGCAGAAGCTTGCAGGTCATTCTGCGGGTTGAAGTCAGTGTCTAAAAATATAACTGTGTCTGCACTGACTAGGTTTAAACCTTGACCCCCAGCTTTGGTGCTCAGTAGGAATACAAATGTGTTGTCATCTTTATTGAAGTTTTTGATGGCTATGAAGCGCTCCTCACCTCTCACAGAGCCATCCAACCTTTCATATGAATAGCCTTGATATGGAAAATAAAGAAAAAAAAAAGAACATTAATTAATTATTAGAAAAAAATTAAATAAAACTAGCTTGTAAAGCAATTAGTCTATTAGTTTATCATGAACTATTAGAAAAAACTGTGCCCCTAATTAGTGGGTTTTAAAATGACTAATGGTTCTTATGGTCAATAGTTATAACACTACACGGAAAACAGCTACTGTATACTACCTAAATTAGTAAACAATAACTTTCTGAAATATTAGCACATATGTCATTTAACAGTCTACATGATAAATTACTTTCAATTATGGCGAGGAGAAGTAAGATATTTAAAAAAATAGATGATAAATGAATGCTCACTACTAAAGATGACAAAAACATGAGAATGCTGCTAAATCTACTGACCTCTGAACCCTAAGTAATCCTGTACAACATCTAACATCCTAGTCATCTGTGAGAAGATTAAAACCTTATGACCTTGTTGGTATAGCAACAGGAGTAGTTGATCCAACAGGTGTAGTTTACCACTTGCTTCTACTAGGTGTTCGCCAAGTTCAAAGGGTTCCGGTTCAACCCCTGTGCAATAACATACAAAAACAAATTGTCACACTTGGTAATCAATTCAGTAAATGTAATGAAACCAGACACAAGTTATTTTTAGAGAGCCTTCCACCTGAAGTAAAGTTAATACGACTTTTACGCAAAATTGTACGCTCACATTAATTTTGACAAATGTCTACAAGATGCTTACTCAGGGCACAATGTTCTTTTTACTTCAAAGCTCATAATCCTAACATTTCTTGTGTATGCAGAATTAACACATTCACTTCTGAGACTTCTTATCAGAAATCATATGTAGTAATTTAATACTAAAAGTGCCTTCACAGGCATTATCCAGATCTTATGACAAGTTAACTGCTACTTAAAAACTTACAACTAACTTGTCTGAATGTGCCTACTGCAAGTTAATATTAAATGAATGACATAATTCAAAATAGGTACTAACCATCAAATAGATATGGATGACTAACACATTTCCTAAGCTGAATCATGATGTTCATGAGCCTTGTCTTTGAAGTACCAAGGGAGCCTTGTTCAAAAGCATCTGAATGGAAAACATTGGAATCAATCAAAATTCACAAAACTGCAGGTAATAATGTTATCAAAGCATTGTAATAATAACATTTATTGATAATCTTCAAACCAATCATTTGAACTTAATTTTTTCTTCTTCTCTGTTGTTGTTAAGCGCCTCGGGGTTGTGTCAACGTGAGGCGCTATATAAATCCAGAATTATTATTATTATTATTATTATTATTTATATTATTATTATTATTATTATTATTCAAGAAATTACATTTCATTGTCAGATGTTACCCATCCAGTCCATGATGCTTTTACTCTCTGTAAATCTGGTAGATTAATTCACCTTAAAGTAAAGACAGCAGTCAGAATTTTTTAACAGGCATTTTAATAGATAAGCTTGCATTGTCCACAATACTGTATACTTTGCCTATCCTTTTTGTACAACTCAGTAATCTTTGCAATATTAGGTAATGATTGATTGTTTTGTTTAAGCATCTTGTATTTTTTAATCTTAGCAATTTCTTTTTTATAACTTGAAAAAAATACGCTTAATTATATTTCTATTAACTCACCATGGTCTTTTAAGAGCACAGCTTTGTAATATTTCTTCTGCAGGGCTGTTAGTCCATGAAACAAAATCACCTCTTTCTTCTTTGGTAGATCCAGTACAACCTCTGACTTAGTTCTCCGCAGCAAGAAAGGTGAAAGCAAATCATGCAGTTGAATCTTCACTGTAATAACATCAAGAATTAATTTAATTAATTGATAGTGTTAATATAATGCCTTTAACAATATAAATACCATATATAAAAAATCTTGCAATTTTGTAATTTATTTATTTATATTTTATAAGATTTATATAGTGCAAAATAATGGAGCAGCTGCTCAAGACGCCATGTTCCCTGGTCATTGGATACAGAATCAACCATACACAACGTGCAACCTCCTCCGTTCACTGGGAACATTCCTAGTTACACTTATAATCAGCACTTGCTACTTCATCATTCAACTCCTACCAGGGGCAACCACTTATACTCTCGGGTGAAGAGAAGCAAGTGCAGAAGTGACTTGCCCAAGAACACAAGCAGTGGAGGACACAAGCCGATGTCAAATCCTGACCTACCGACTGAAAGCCCAAAGCCTTATATGCTGCACCACACGCTGCTAATTGCAACTACATTCAGTATTGTGTCTGATCTATATTGACAAACATGTGCAGCATTGCATGCTTCATAAAAACAATGCTGTGTTGCAGTGCAATGTAATTACCGGTATTATGATCATTGCCATGAATTTTGGGTCCAACGAATTACCCAAATGAATTGGAATTACCCAAATGAAATGGAATTACCCAAATAAAATGGAATTACCCAAATGGAAACACAAATGATTGAAATTACCCAAATAATAGCCCAAATGACACAGTTACTGTATGTTGTTTATACCTAAAAGTTCTGACGAATTACCCAAATGAAACGGAATTACCCAATTTAATTGAATTGTCATTTGGGTAATATCACAATTCCGTATCATTTGGGTGCCATTTGGATAATTCCGTATCATTTGGGTATCATTTAAGTAATTCCGTTTCATTTGGGTAATTCGTCAGACCGCAAATTCTTACCAGGCTCCCTTTTTCATACCTTTATGTAAATTGACTTGCATAAGGACACAAGCAAAATACACCTACCAGTTTTATTATCTATGTTTGCAAAATAATCGATGAAGTCATCCGAATACTTGTGTTTGAATATCTGCGGTGCGATGAAGGCGAGCAAATTGTAGAGCTCCCTCAAATTGTTCTGCACTGGTGTACCCGTTAGGAGAAACCGAAGCATTACATCAAACTAAAAATTTAATTTTACACAGAGTTATAGAGTTAAGATAGAAGCTTTCGACTAATACAAAAGAAACGATGCCAAATGCAAGCTGTTGATCAAATAGAAAAGTACAGTATATCCACAATACAATAAAAAAAAAAATAAACCAAGGGAAAAAATTAGATTTTATAATAATCATGAAGGAAAACTAATTTCTTCATGTTATAATTTATGTTCAAAACATTTTACAAGATCTTGGAAGCCAAAGTTTGAAATTTGTGGTATAATATTTTAAGGAAATATTAGAATATCATTAAGATATCCTGGTCTCAATCAACAAAATATACAAAGTACTTACATTATTGAGTGCCTGATGAAGCATTGAGTTTGAGTTTTTGAGCCGGTGTGCTTCGTCAACTACCAACGCATCCCAAGATGTTCTCTCAAGGAATGCAACATCTTTTAAGACCATCTGGTGACATAAAGAAAATTATTTCTGCCATTTTATGCCATTTTTACAGTATTGTTAACATTCAATAGTTAAGATTTATTTTTTGTTGATTTTAAGACTTCTAACTACAAAATCTTTCAATTAAATTGGCCAGTGTTCACCTCATATGTTGTTAACAGAACGTGATAATTTTGTGATCCGTTGTTCATTCTTGTTTGTATGTTTTCTCTTGTCTCTTTATTGCCAATATAGCGTACAATTTCCAAGCAAGGTGCAAACCTGTAGTCCAATGAAAATGATAAAAAGTAATAAAAATGACAATGAAGTTTATACTGTCATTTTATGATGACAGCGTAATAAACGTCTGAAAGCCGGGGCGGATCCAGAATTTTGCAAACAAGGGGGCATAACATATTCAGAATAGAAAAGTGAGAGCGCTAATTTCAAAATATGCCTTGAAATATAAATATTTAGTGGCAAAACGTGTATAAGAGACAGGGGGTGACATGCCCCCTGTGTCCCCTGGATCTGCCCCTGTTGAAAGGCAAAGTTGCTTTGGGTGCTTTCAAATTCCAATATTAACAATATTTAATAAACCAATAATAATAATAATAATAATAATAAATCATAAATAATAATAATAATAATAATAATAATAATAATAATAATAATAATTACTACTACTACTATTATTATTATTATTTACTGTTTCCAAAAAGAAGAAAAATCCTCCTGATACAGTCTTTACCACAATGATGTTAATAAAAAGAGACAACATCTACAAGAAAATCTTTCGGTGATAAATTATTGATTTTTTCTTACTTTGTTTTGTTTGTTTTTTATTTCATTGCTTTAAATTCTTTTTTTTTTTACTTTTTATTTATTTTGTTAATTTCTTTTATCTTTAGTTACTGCAATTTGCAGCAACGTTTTAAATGTGTTTCCAAGTCTTGACATTTAGATTATTAAATTTCGAGGTGATCCTGTACATCAGCTTGTAAAATATTTTTTCATCCTAATCCACTTGGTAATTGTAATGATGTGCTTATTGAGAAATGCAGGTGACAGTGGATCAAAACTAATCAAAACATCCAAAGATATTCCACCTTCACCCCGATGTTCTATGAGAATACAGTAGACTAAAATCTGAATGTAAACAATGACAACAGCTTGTACAAAATTAGTGATGGTGATAAAAAATTTAAAAAAATTAACACATGGTGAGGTGTAACTAAAGCAAATAATACTTTGTCGCTGAGATATATTTTCCTTGTGGTTCTAACAGGCTAAACTTCACTTACTTTTCAAATTCATCTTTCCAATTAGCCAAGACAGACAGAGGGCAGACCACTAGAAAATGTCTCTTTTGCTTTACCATAGCGAGGTACAACAGAACTGCAATAGTCTGCAAGAAAATATTAAACTTTGCTCGTTCATTTATATGTTTAGTTTTGAATTCCATGAAAAGAATGTTCTACTTTGTCAAGACTTGCTTAGGTTCTCTATTTTTTGAAATCATACCTGACAAGTTTTGCCAAGACCCATTTCATCACCAAGAATGCATCCATGATTTTTTAGGCAACGGGCAACCACCCATTTCACTCCGTCTACCTGGTACGGTCTTAGTGTTAACCCTATAATAACAAGATACATAGGCTGTCATAAATAGGAACCCTAAAAAAAAATTAAAGGCCCTACTGGCCCCTAGGCTAAAAAATGCTAAAAAAAAAATAATTCTAATCAATGGCAGTTTGTTATACACCAAATCATGGCAAATATTTACAGATTCCTATCTAATACACTGATATAATGTATTATGACGTTATTGTTCTCATCCAATGCTAACTGTTACATATATCCAATCGGATATGAATTCATTTAAAACTGGAGTAACAATAGCACTGTTTGTAGCCGGACGCCCTTAAGCAGGGACTAGGCCTAGAGCCTATTCTAGCTAGGGCCTATCACCAACAGGTAGGCCTAGTAGTAAGTAGCAGGAGGCTAGGCCTAGAGGCCTAGTTTAGGCTACCTAGCTAGGCTTAGACTAATAAGGCTAGACTGTCTAGCATGGTACCTTTCAAATATGGTTGAATCATGGTTAAATCAAACATTGCATTCTGTTTTTCTCTGCAGATGTCTCCATCAACAATATTGTTAAGAAGCTGACTTATTCGTTTCGGAATCATCATCAATTCTTTCGCACTGAACTCCCCTTTTGACAATCACCCTTTCATTCGGTCATCTTTCTACCGAATACCTCTGCTCAACTTTATCATACAGCACTTCACTAAGGAGTGCCCAATGTTTTCGCGGCAGCCGTACGGCGAGCATAATTTTTAGCACGTTTTATATCTACATTTCTTTTTTTATTTTAAAAATAAACGTTGGATAAAAATAACAATTTTTTAAAAATATTAGATGTAAATATTTAGGAGTAAAAATGTTTAAATTTATTATAACCAATTTTCTAGTGAAATACCTGTTTACTTTGGCCGCGTTTTCTGGTATTACGCAATAGGGAAAGTCTCTTGACAAGCTAAACACAACAGCCACCACGGCGGTAGAGCATGGAAGTTAATTATTTTGAGACAACTGATACATATAAAGATGATCCTCTATCTGTATCACCCAAGGTAATAATAATTATCAAGTCAATTTTTAGGTTGTATATTCCATTCCAAAGTAGATTTAAAGCGTTCATTCCTAGTATATTTTGCATTGTATCTTAAATTTTTAGGTTAAATTTTTCGAGCCCGTTCCCGGCCGAAATCACTCTGGTGGTTAAAGATCAAATAATAAAATAAAAACAAAAAAAAAACAAACAAACAAACAAACAATCAAACAAACAAAACAATAAAAAACAAAAAAAAATAAAACAAAAACAAAAAAAACCAAACAACCGAAATACTCGATACAGTATAACAGAGCAATATTATTCTAATCAAAAAATAATAATTAACATTAAATGATACAATTTGTTTCCTCGACGAATTCGACTATTAAACATATATTCGGAGAAATTCTCATCTGTTACATAGCAATAGCATATCTATATCTACCTATATTCTGCGATTGGTGTTTGGAGAGATCACTTTGAGAGTTTTTTTTTTAACCTTTGACAATCCTATAGCAGGGGTGGTGCCAGGATTTGCCCTACGGGGGGGGGGGAGCAAGGTCC